TTTTACAATGTGGACTAGATGGAGCTTTGCATTTCAGACCATCAACAGCTAAACGGTATTTAACCCTTAAACCCACTCATCAACACCCCCTCCCTGTATCCTATCCCACCCCAGCCCCTCTCCTGATTTCTCTTCTCCCTCTCATGGACCTCCATCATCCCTTTCACCCAACTCAGTGCCTGTCCACCTTCTAGAGTTTCCCTGGCCACCCCAACTTCCGAAGTCTGTTCCCTTTGGTATACAAGTCCTTGTCATGGTTTTTATCCTTACTTAGAACAGTGGCCTCAGACAATATTTGCCTATCTGTGATTGACTGACCTCACTCAGCATCATGCTCTCCAGGTCTGTCTGTGTCAGGAGGGGCTTCGGGGTTTCATTGTTTATTTTAGCGATGCACAGCGGTTTGTTGTGTGTCTGTACCGGGGCTTCTTTACCTCTTCTTGTCATTGTGAAACATGGGAATTTTAGTACATGAGCGTGTTGGTCATATGGCTCTTATTTATTTATTTATTTATTTTGAGTCTTCTTTCCTTATTGCATATCCTCAGCGGAGGTGTTGCTCATTCCTATGGAATTTCCATTCCCAGTTGTTTCCCGTCAGTGTTCCCACCTTTCTGTATAAGCTGAATAAAATTTTTGTTTTCCTGATGATTATAACTTTGTGATCCTTTTCCCCGAGGACAGGACTGTGAACCATAAGACTGACAGTTCAAAGTCACCGGCCGCTCTGTGGGAGAAAGGTGAGGCCGCCTGCTCCTGTAAATATTCAGAGCATTAGGAACCCCATAGAGGGCCAGTTGGAGTCACCACGCACGCACCTGTCAGTTTTTCCTACTGTGGTGGCTTGCCTGTTGCTAGGATGCTGGAAGCTATGTCACCTGTCCTTTAAATACCAGCAGGATCACCTATAGAGGCGCTTCCTAAGAACAGACTACGAAGAAGGGACAGGCGATCCCCTTCTGAGGGATTAGCCAGGGAAAACCTTATGAGTAGCAGCTGAACATTGTCAGATACAGTGCTGGAAGCTAGGCCTTCAAAATACAACTGGGAGAGGCTAGTGGATGTAGAGCTGACTGAATCTGAGATGGGCCACGTGCATCCAAGGCCTGCTGATGGCTTCTGAGGTTGGTGGGCGGTACAACAGGAGGTTGAAGAACCAGACGCAGGATCAAAATTCAGCAGTAGAAGCGAACTTCCGCACTCTATCGGTCTATCCCAAGAGTAGGCCACACTCCAAATAAAACTCCCTTGAATTGTATCAAGACTGTGACCAGATTAGGGAGGTGCTACTCCTCCTGGTTCCTCCCACAACTGCTGGGCTGCCTCAGAGAAAAGCCCATCCTGGACTTGACCACACTATGTTAGATCATATCGTGGGAGAATCCTGGTCCACCACGTTGGCATAAAACCCAACGATCACTGAGTCAATGTTAAACATTTTAATCCATTGCTTTTTGCTTCCACAGGCAAAATGAACTGTCTTTCTTCTTTCTAACAAACAAACAAAAACACCTAATAACCACAATGTGGATCACAACAAACGATGGATAAAATTGCCAAGGCTGGGAATTCCAAAATACTTCACTGTGCTGATGCATGGGTCAAGATGCAGCTGTTCAAACAGAACAAGGGAATTTCATTTGGTGTATCCTGGTTCAAATTTAAGAAAAGGGCACATTGGGATTATGTCCTCTCATTGCTTTCTCCTGAAAGTGAGGAAGACTTGAAGCACTTGCTGATGAAAATCAAAGACGGCAGCCTTCAGCGTGGATTGCAACTCATTGTAAAGATGCCCCAGATCCTCACAACTGGACGTAGCATCATGATAAACAGAGAAAAGATTGACGTTGTCAAGGATTTCATTTTACTTGGATTCATTATCAATGCTCATGGAAGCAGCAATCAAGAAATCAAATGACATATTGCATTGTACAAGACCTCTTCTAAGTGTCGAAGAGCAAGGATGTTACTTTCAGGACTAAGGTGGGCCTGACCCACGCCAGGACATTTCAGTCACCCCACATGCCTGTGAAAGCCAAACAAGGAACAAGGAAGATTATAGAAGAGTCAATGCACTTGAACTGTGATGCTGGCAAAGGCGATTGAAAGTGCTACAGGCTGCCAGCAGAACAAACAAATCCGTCTTAGAAGAAGTGCAGCTGGAATGTTCCTTAGAAGCAAGGATGGTGAAACTTTGCCTCAAGCGCCTTGGACATGTTATCAGGAAAGACCAGTCTACAGAAAGGCCATCATGCCACGTGCATGGATAAATATATTTATATATAAAGATAGGAAAATAGATCTATGTACATATATTTATAGGCTAAGTATTAAGGTAGCAGATGGACATTGGGTCTCCACTCAACACTTTGTCCTAATAACTTGGCATTCTGTGATACTCAGCTTCCCAACACTATCATTGAAGACAAAATGGATGAATAAGCAAATGTGGTGAAGAAAGCTGATGGTGCCCAGCTATCAAAAGATATTGTGTCTGGGGTCTTAAGGCCTTGAAGATAAACAAGCATCCATCTAGCTGAGAAGCAGCAACGTCCACATGGAAGAGGCACCTCAGCCTGTGTGATCATGAGATGTTGATAGGATCAGGTATCAGGCATCAAAGACCCAGGACAAAAATCTATATCAATGTGAATGAGGGGGAGGGCAGAGTGGAGACCCAAAGCCTATCTGTAGACAATTGGATATCCCCTTACAGAAGAGTCACAAGAAAGAAACAAGCCAGTCAAGGTACAGATGAAACATACAACTTTCCTTTAGTTCTTTAATGGTTCACCACCACCACCCACTATCATGACCCCAATTCTATCTTACAAATATGCCTAGGCCTGAGCATGTACACATGTATAGATAAGACCTCAAAACACGGAAATCCAGGACAGATAAACCCTTCAGGACCAATAATGAGAGTAGCGATACCAGGATGGGAAGGGGAAGGTGGGGGGAACCGATCACAATGATCTACCCCTCCCAGGGGGACAGACAACAAAAAGGTGAGTGAAGGGAGACATTCGTCAGTGTAAGGCATGAAAGAAAAAAAAAGATAAATTACCAAGGGTTCATGAAGGAGGCAGGGTAAAAACTGAGGAGCTGATACTGATAGGTAGCGGGTTAGGGAGTAGCCCCTCTCCATGCCATGGCGCCCCTACAGGAGGTTGCTGCAGAGAATCAGGCGAGCCCAGCCAGCCATAAAGGCTAGAGGGCATGCTGACATTCAGGCCCAGAGCCAGGGGGTCAGTAGACCTAGGTGGGTGGAACACCTGGATTGGCCCCATCTAGGCCAGGTGGGCTTAATTCAGCCAACGGGGTCAACCAGTACCGTTGACCATACCTCCCAACCGGGGCGGGGGGTGGGGGTGGAGGGGTGCCCCGGGACCTGAAAAGCCAGGAACTTTGAGACCACCCTCTCTCTTCCAGTGGCTCCTACACAGTTCAGTGAGGTAGGGCTGCCACCCTGCTCAACTGTTCTCTCTCTCTCATTCAGTTTACTGTAACGCTTGAAACTGCTTCTACCCTTTATAAAAAATCCCACTTGGATCACAAACCAGGCTTCGGTGTGAATTCTTTCTCTTGGGAAGTCAAGGACGGAGGTATTTCTTTCTTTCTTTCTTTCTTTTTAAAATGTTTATTACATTAATTTGAGTGGCACTTATGCTCAGCTCACTGCCATTGAGTGAGTGCTGATCCATAGCAACCACCTTTGGGTTTCCGAGACTGTACCTTGTCTCACACGGAGCTGCTGGTGGTTTTGAACTGCTGACTGTGTGGATGGCAGCCCAGCGCATAACCACTACACCACCAGATCTCCAGATCGAGGTATTTCTAACCCGAGAAACCTAACAATACCAAGGGCTCAAGTAGAAAGAACATGTTTTGAAAATGATGATGGCAACAAAAGTACAAATGTGCTGACACAATGGCTATGGATGTATGGATTGTGATAAGAGCTGTATGAGCTCCCAATAAAAGGATTTATTTTTAAAAAAGACATCATGTTTGGTAATAAAGTAGCAGGTGAGGGCCCACCCTCCAGGAGGTGTATTGCCACAGTATCTACAAGGAGCTCAAACCAAGAACAACTGTGAGGAGAGCACAGGCCCACGCATGTTTACTCTGTCATACGCAGGGTCGCTATGAATAGCCAACAACCATAGCACCTCAGCGCAATCACCACCACATGTTGAAATCAACTAGACGGCGGGGGTGGGGGTGTGTGGGGGGTGGGGTGTGTGTGGGGTGTGTTCCAGGAACTGATATTTCCCTCTAGGTTTGAAAACCCCAAATGTTCAGGAAGTCAGATTTCAGGAAACATCTTCCCGACTCCTTGCTCAGCATTTTGCAATCAAGCTATTGTCTTTTTCTCTAAGACAGCGTTCAGAGATCGGATGGGGGGGCCTGCCTGACAGGGATCCTCTCTGGGTTTCTTTCTGGGCTCCATGCCTCCTGGAGCCTGAAGCCATTACAGTAAACCCTGATTCCGATGCTGCACTGAAGTGAAATGACTTGCTGTGGATCTTCTACCCACAGTCTTTGTAACGCCCACTCAGTGTCTGGGTGGGCATATGCAAATAAAGTGCGGAGCAGTCTAACTTGAGGGTTAGTCAGTTTTACCATTCTCCTGGGCACAGAATGGGTCATTTCAGAATCAGGAACAGAGAACCCCCACAACCATTAAGAATGAAGATCCAGTTGGTGGAGGAAATGTGAGGTCCCTGGGTGAAGTGGAGATAGCCACAGAAGTAGCTGAGCCCGCAGCCCCTGGACTATGAGTCAGGACCCCAGGCAGAAGCTGGCTTGTTGAGGGGAGTGGCCATTGGGCATTTATAAATGCCAAGCAGTTGTTTTTTTTTTAAGTCACCAACTTTTATTATCATCTTTCATGTATTTTGTAAAAATTAAAAGGAGGTAGCAAAGAGTTCAAGGTCATCTGAGGGAGAATCTCCGGCTTTGGACTGGCCAGTCTATTCACATCGGCTCTCCCATCAGGCGCTGCAGCTGCACTCGTCCCATGCTCCTTTGCAGATGCAGCCCTGGGCACCCTCGGCACAGCCCACAGGGCAGCAGGAGCAGCAGCTCTTTTTATAGGATGTGCATCTGCAGCCTTTGCACTTGCATGAGTCAGAGCAGCCACAGGAGCCACCAGTGGCGCAGGAGCAGTTGGGGTCCATTTGGAGGGAGATGAGGCTGGCGGTCCCAGGTCAAGTGTGAAAGTGAATGCTAGCAGGTGGAAGGCTTCGCTTAGCAGTTTTGTAACACTTGCCTGCTGAGTAGAGACCCAGGGGCCTTGTGTTAAGAGCCTGAAAACAGAGAGAGCCATGCCTGCTGGCAAGAGAAGCTAGCTGAGAGGAGGCTCTTCTGTGGACCAAGGGCTGTATTCTTAATGTTTTCTGATTTTAACTTTCCTAACACATGCCCCATAATCTTGAGTATTGTCTGTATGACCATTGCAATGGATTCATTGGTCAACACACATTTTGGTGCCTCAAATGTTAGACTGGTTTTGGGGTATATTTGACTTGCTGATGACAAAAAATGGTCCTAACCGCTCTAGTTTTTGAGTTACAGAACTTATGCCATATGCCACTCTTCACTCTGCTCACTCATAAAATAACCGGATATTGTAATATAATGTTAGCTAGTTTGAGATAAAGGAAGTACAGGCTGGCGTCATTTAGTTTGTGTTGTACTAAATATTTAGGTCAAGTTATGTTTCACACAGTGTCCTCTGATCTAAAGATATATTTGAATAGTACAAATTACATGAAATCCTCCCCCAAGTATCCCTTCACCTTTATTAGACACTGAATAGCAGGCAGTTCCAATTGATTGTTTGAAAAGGGGCTAGAAATAAGTTACTGTACCATTCTTCAAAAAATAAAGCACCAACCATGCATTAAAAGATTTAAAAAAAGAAGAAGATTTGCAGCCACAAAAACCTTAGACTAAGTTCCGCTCTGGCCTACAGGGTGTCGCTATGAGTCAGAGTAGACTGGTGGTGGTTTGGGTACAATAAATAGAATTGCAAATGCTCTGAAACCTGAAATGGGTCTGTCAGGATTCAAACTCTCTTACTAAGCAACAAAGCCCACATGGAAGAAGCACATCAGCCTATGCAAGCACTAGGTATCAAAAGGATCAGGTATAAGGCATCCTCAGAACAAAAAATCTTACCATAGTGAATGATGGGGGGAGTGCGGAGTGGAGACCCAAAGC